CTTGTGACAACCAAATAGTCCTCCTACGTCTCTAAAGTTAGTATCACCCCCTTTTGGTCATCACTGGGACTCTAAAGAATGTCGGTATCCTTTTGAATGTGGAAGAGCATCTGATCCCAAATTCAGTGGAATGACATAGTATGGACAAAGATGTAAGTTTGGTTTGAAACATTAGGGGATATATATCAGTCATCCACTTCTGTCATGCAAAAACTTTAATATGACTCTCACAGAACATTTTACTTAGAATGAGGCTATGTCTTTGCACAATGAGCCTGCCAGGATGAAACAGCCTCCAAGTAAAACCCTCACCAGCTGAATTAGTTGATCCACAAAATGTAGCTCATTCATTCAATAAATGTTAATTGAATTGTCCATTCAAATGATGAAGATTGTCTGCCAAAAATAATTTGGTTTTAATAAAGTTGATGTTAAACTTTTTTTTTTTCTAGCTAGTTGACCAAGAATTTAGTTTATTCCTTCATTTAATGTTAAAACCTATTACACACCAACTAGAGAGGACACAGTGGTAAGCTTTGCTAATAGTCTAATGGAAGGTTTCAGGGAGACATAGTAAAATAACATGGAAGTTATTGGAAATAAAGAGGTATAGTGGCTTTTTCTGAGAAAATTTTTAATCCGAGGTATAAAGGATGAGTAGGAATTAACTAAATGTTTTGTTTGTGGGGAGGAAGGGGTGCAGGGAGAGAGAAAATTATTTTAGGCAGGGCCACCAGCTTATATAAAGGCCAGAACAAAAAGAAGAGGTTAGGATGAAAACATAAAAGTGGTGAAGAGAAATTTCCTGAGGGCAGAATTTTAGGGCTTGGAAAGAGTTTGGATTTTTTCCTAAATGCAGCTTTATGAAAGAAAGACATGATCAAATTTATATTTAATCCAACTCACAAAGATCCAGAGTGGACAGATTTGAGAAAGCCAACGTAGATTTTGGAAGAGACATCTAGACAACTCGGAAATGTTATATTATCCATAATAAAGGTGATGGTGGTCAAGACTAGGGAATGAAGGTGGAATGGGGAGGAATGATTAATTCACTGAACAAATAATTAAGAGCTCCAACTACGTGCCAGGCACCCTATCAAGATATTGAGGAGTCTAGTGGGGGAATTAATCAAATAAGCAACAATGACAAAATATAAAATTTTAATCACTTTCACTGCCATGAAGGAGAAATACGTGATGCTGTGAAATCATGAAACAGAATTTTCCTAATGCTTCAGGAAAGGTTTCCTTTGAGAAAGGGAACTAAATTCTGAAGGTTGCCTAGAAGCTAATGAAAGGGCATGGTGAAGAATGAATGGGAATAATTTTCAAGAGAGGGAAAATAGCATTTACCAAGAAACTGTAAGGGAGCCAGTGTGACAGGCTGCAAAGAGCAAAGGGGAGTATGGTTAGGATGAGGCTGCAGAGGTGGGTTAGGGCTGTATTATGCAGCATTAAGTAATTTGCTCTTTATCCTAAGAGCCAGGGAAAGCTGTGAGAGTGTTTTAAAGCCGTGGGTGTCATAAAGAAAACATCAAATTTGTGTTCTGAAGAGATTGTTGTGGCTGCAGTATGAAGAGTGGATTGCAGGGGTGAAGTGGATGTTAAGCCATGTTTGCAGAAGAGCAGGAAGATGCTGGAAGGTGGAGGACTTGGTGACTGGGGAGAGGATAGGGTTTCTGGCTTGGGCTTCTTGAACACACTCCCAGTTGAACACACGTAAGACCTCATCATCATCTGACCAGATGGAAGGTGTTTTCATCTTCTTACTGACTAGGGCAAGAATAAGGTCATCTAAAAGTTACCCTACATGTTGAACTGTTAACAATGGTGGGAATGGGACTGGAGAAGAGGATGGTAGAAAAAAGAGGGCACTTTTTACCATCAACATTTCTATATTATATGACTTCTACAATAAAAATGTGAATACAAATATAAGCTTAAAACTCAATATAGAAATCCCATCAAATTATTTACAAATATATGCGAGAGAGTTAGGACGCTCTTGTTTTATGCCACTTAGAAATGGATTTTGAGCTCCCAAGAGCCCACTCCCATCCATCTGCTTCTCAGGACTAATCTGCAATAGAAGGCTGGAAGGATTAAGAGTCCACACTGAATAAAGGCTACAGTATATATATATTTATAAATCTTAAATTGTGATTAATATTTTCTCAATAAGATAAAAGCCTAACAGTGATAAATAGTGCGAGAGCTGAGACTAAACCATGCTTCTTCCTCATGTAATACATGAATGAGAAAGACCCAGAGAGAGGAAAGCAAACATTGGCTTTGGATGAGACATTCAACAACATGTCCTTATAAAAAAAGGACATGTCCCGTGTCCTTTTTATAAATATACATATGAAGCCCTTACTGAGTCTCAAAGAGTTAAATGTGCAAAGACTGCTGTCCATCAGAGTAGGATTTACATAATTCTGGGCAACACTCTTCACTAGGTGGAGAGGGGGTGTCTAGTAAACTATTAAATGTGCCCTTCGAGGAATGTTATAGATTCAGCCAGTATGACATAACCGCATTCAAACGTGGAATCTGGACCTGTTCCTCCCCATAATCCATTTCCTTTTCGTTAACAGCATTATTCAACTGCCTTTAAGTTTCTTTATATTCTACACCCCACTTGCACTACTTGAGATAAATACCATTTAGAACACTGTGTTTTGTTTTGTTTTTGCATCCCACTTATTAACGTGTGTTGAGAATCTAAAATGGATACAGGAAAAGCAGAAATTTAAAAAATATGCACTAAAAAATAAGATCAGGGTTCACAAAAAGCATAACTGCCAACAACTGTACAGACCTGTACAAAGCACTCTCACATTTATTGTTTCATTTTCTTCCACCTTTTAAGCCAGAGTCTTACTGCTGTGTCACCGATGAATGATCACGATCACAGTCCTAACAACTTGCAAAGATTTTAATCTTCTGACTTGTGTGCTCTTCTTTCAACCATGCAATAGGGATACAATGTTCCTGGAAAGGAGCTGGATTAGAGCAATCTTAGGTAAATACGCACATACACAAGATGGAGTGCCGCACAGAACTCAAGGGCAGGGACGCATGTACAGCTGAGTCTCGCCTAGGCCACCAGGAAACCAGGCAGTCCTCTGTGCCTGCCTGATGATGTCATCTTCTCACTCACTTCCTTTGCCTTCTGATCTTCCCAAGCCCATGCCCACACCAAGACTGCAGTCTCAGGCATGGCACATGAGTTCAAAGGGTATAACCCAGAATCTCAGTTGGAGATTCTGGGCACCATCTGACTGACCAAGCTTGGGTGAGAGGGGCACCCCTATTCAACTGACTCTATATAAGGGATACATCTCAGCATTTTTAATGGCAAAAATGTCATACATTACTGAAACGTCCAACAAGAGAGAACTTATTAGAAAATTACAGCATATCCACGATAAATATAATGCAGCCTTTAAAATGTAGAATTTTCAACGATCTGTAAAGTGCTTATATTAAGTGGAGGAAAAGACTGTAAAACAGTAAAGACACAGAAGTCAAGTGCATAGACCAAAATAACAACAAAAACGAAAAATCCAGTGAGCTCTCGGTAGGTGGAATAATTTCTATTTTCCCTGTGTTTCTATATATTTTCCAAATCTGTCAAGAGTGTGCTGCTATTGTAGTAAGATAATACAGTTTTAAAAACACACTCAATTTCTTATTATGATTATTTCTGGGTGATGGAATTATGGATGATCTTTATTTTCTCGTGAGTTTTTTTCATTCATTCATTTCATTCAAATTGTCCATTTGTGGTAAAGACAATGTTTTGTGTTCAGCAGATTATTTTGGTTCTCCTCCTGGACACACCCAATGACTACATTTCCCCATCTCCCATATGGCCTGGGGTCATATGGCTGAGAAGCTTCTGGCCAATGGAAATGGGGAAAAGCGCTGTGTGCCTTTCAGGCCTGCCTATAAACCCCTGCAGGATTTAGCACTCTAGCTCCTCCCCTTCCAGGGCAAGTTTGAGGATTCAAAGCTGGCATTGTTACAAGATGAGCAAGTGTGAGTCCCTGGGAGACTTCTTGCCACATTGAAGTAATGATGAAAACAGACAAAATCCTACTGTTTGAAGTCACTAAGATGTTAGGATTGTTACAGCAGTTCATCTGTCCTAACGAATAGAGCATTACTATTATCCGTAGGAAAACAGAAACTAAAATACAACCTTCCAAAATATAAACCTTCAACAGCAGCCCATGATCTATTGAAGGAAGTCCTCAAGATGGCATAAAAGGTCCTCTATTACCTGGTCCCATGTACTTCACATTCCAAAAATCTCACTGTCCCTCATAAAGGCTCCCAAAGCTCCTGGACCCGTTCTTCCCCATTACAGTACCAATCACAACTGTATTGTAATTAGTTGGTTATTCATCAGTCCCTTTCACTAGACTGTGAGTTTCCACTAAGGCAGCAGTTGTCTTTCTTCTTCACAGGTATACCTTCAGTGCTTCATGCCATGTCCCGGGCATATAAAGGATGCTCAGTTAAGTATCTGCTGAATGAATTAATAATGTGCTCCTAAATGTTCATAGCCCATAAAAACTATGAAATTTCAGAGCCCTGAAGGTAAGGAAAAGCAATTCTCATTTTATTAGAATAAATTCTCTTCTAAAACAAATCCTCAATCTCTGAATACCTGACTAGCCAGCCTGAAGCTTTTACAGTATTACTGTAAAGAAACCAAGAGCCAGGAATCAAATAATATTCTTGTTAGACCAGAACTGGTTCCTAGACTAAATCCTTTATGGGTTTGTGATGCTTTAAAAATTCTGACTTCTTAAATTCAGAATTGGAATTTGTCTCAGGAATTTACAGTGAAATTACTCTTAGATATTTTAAATAGGGGTGGATTCTAAATTATTTCAGATAGGAAACTACCTTAGAAATATAAGAATCACCACTATAACTCAAAATGCTCCATTTGTGAGAAGACATTCTCAAGAAAGCACTTTATGTTCCTTGGAAAGTTCAGGTTTAATGACAGCCCTTCCATTAAATACAAAAGCATTATTCTACAATGTTTAAACAGCATCTTTCAAGGTTGAGTCTTAGATGTTACTTTAATAGCATCCATGAAGAATGTAGTTACTTTAAAAGTTTTTTATTTTTTAAAAAAACTTTGACTTTACCCACTGTATACAGAGAACTGGATTTTTAAGAAATAGTTTCTTCTTTAACATGGATTATCTCAAGATATGAAGAACCAAATTACTCTTTGGTTTTATTAGATGGGAAAAACAACACACAGTCCTTTAGTCAAACAACTTTGTGATATTTATATTCCATTGCACAGGTATAGATTATACAAATTAGTAATACAAGTTATTTCTTAAATTCCAAACATTTTCTAAAATATTATTATACCAGATACCTAGGATATTAAAACATCAAGGTGGAAATCATACTCTAAATAGTTAAATATGACACTGAAAATACTACACATTTTAATTAGAGGAAAATTAAAATGTGTGCTCAAATGCTCTAACAAACTAAGTTGCAGGGCAACAACTACAAATAAGTCACTGTGGTCCATTTTTACGTATGCATATATATGATTATTAGATAACCCCTCCTCTTGAAAATGCATAATTAAAACATAAAAATCTGGATAAATGAATTAATGAAATTTAAACTCTTCCTAAGATCTACGGTGAAGTGTACTATTACTTATGACTTCATACAACTACTAATTCAAGATAAAAGACACCACACCTGGAAAGAAAAAAAGATTTTTTTTTAAAGATAATGGTTTTAATTGAGTTAATGAGATGAAAAACAGTGAAGCCCTGTGTTCTACTTACATGAAAGAAGATTTTAAAAAATAATCACTGCACAAAATACAAAGGGTGGGGTTATGCTGTGGTGTTAAATTTTTCTCCATAATGTTTTTCTTGACTGTTCAAGAACAAATTAAAGTTTCCACAGCAAATTTGTTTTCAAAATGCCGAATCATAGCACAATTGCTGACTTCGCGTTTCTGAATACCTGTTTGGAAGGGAAAATTTTTTAAATTTCTGATTCTTCAGTAATAAATATTCATGTTAATTTTCACAGTTATTATTTAGACATAAAAAATATTTTACTCTATATTCCATTAACTTCTATAGTTTGATTTTTTTTAACACTGCAGAAGTAGATTTAACACTGCAGAAAATAATTTCCCTCTCTTTTCTAAACCAAGTATCTTAACAGACGCTAGTAACAATAATAATGCCATACATATAAATTTATGACCCTGAAGGTAGTGGAAATGTTCTATGTCTTGACTGTGGCGGTGATTTGCTGAAACTCAGAACTACACACTAAAAAGGGTGAATTGTATTATATGTAAAATTATGACTTTAAAAAAAACTATGAACCATAAGATCATTTTAAAATGAAAGAAATCAAGCAGCAGGCTTCAGGTGACTCACCAGCCCAATGTGGGAGAACAGGATTATCAAAAGTGCTAACAGAAAGCCAGGAATGCACTTTAACTAGGTGCCACAATTTCAAAGAAATCACACCATAGTGTATCTGCATGGCACTCCTTACTTTCTAAAGCTCTGTCACGTGTACTTTCATTTTATTTTTACAATGATCTTGAAAAAAAATGGGGAGATAATGTCATCACGTGAGAAAACAAAGGTGAAGTGATTTGGCAAAGCTACATTAGTTGTGTCAATGCTCCTAATTCTTCAGCCAAATTCCTTTCGAACTAACCTGACTGTGGTTATCTTCAATGTGATCCAAAAGGCAAACTCTGCTTAGAACCTAGATCCCTGAGCATACAAATGAAGAGCTACTTCAGAGACCCTCCGGATAAGCAGAACCCTTGCGCAGTACAGCTCAACCGAAGGGGTAGGATGGAAAGGTGGACTGGGTGGCCATATGCAAAGTGAGGTAAGAGCACCTCAAGGGAATGACATTTCACATTCACCTATTCTCTCTGAAAAGAGTAGATTTAGAATTAAGATGACTCTTCAGAAATCTAGAAATACTATACAAGGTACAATATAGTTTTATTTTCTCACTCACGGCAAGTGTATTGGTAACAATCACTAGCTTACATCTAAATCTAATTTAACACAATGAAGTAAAACAAACTTTTTTGCCAACATTTTAACATGAGAAAGTATTACCTTTAATGGTTTCTCTGCGTTGCAGTTTGTAAGTTTCCTTGTCATGGCACAGTCGATAAATATAGAAACCCAGGTGATCAATGTTTTCAATGCGATCAGTGATGACCATGTGTTCATGAATCAGATATGACTGAGGCAAATATGTCCCAGCCTACATTTGGAAAAGAATATATTACACAGATATCTCAAAACATACATTGAACAGACAAAGAAAGCAGACAAAATTCTTAGAGATTATAGTACAGAACAGAGATTGGCAAACTACTACCCACCATCTGTTTCTATAAATAAAGTTTTATTGGAATATAGTTGTGCCCATTTGTTTACATATTGTCTATGGCATCAAAATTGATTAGTTGCAACACAGATCTTATTTTTTAAAAGCCTACGATTTATTCTCTGGCCCTTTAGGAAAACTTAAATATAATTTTAGAAATTACATTTTAATTTCAAAATATAAAGTATTAAAAGAGACAAGGAAAAAACCTGAAACCACAAGTCTTAGTTCCTCGTTGTAAAATGCTTATTAGCCATACTGTCAGTAAGATGGGCTCCTATAGGGCTAATTTCTCAACAAGGAATTCCAAGATGCTGTAACAGCATCAATAATAAGAAGTATTTGAAAGTTTTATACCTTTATGTTAATAAGTAACTCCAATAGGTTCCTGGGTGGCATAACAATGGAAGTGTTCAGAGGAATCACATAGCATTTATCCAGTTTAAGATCTAAATAGGCTGTGAATTTCTGGGAAGAAAAAGATATATTTTCATTAGATTAATGTACAAATATTACCAATATACAGACAGGCAGCAACTGGATTTTTAAGAATAACTTGTACTATTAGAATGTGTAAATCACTTACATTTCCACAAATCAAGAATTTGGTGGGGTAGGAATGGAAATAGTAATGGGAGAGGAAATTTTGCTACTAGTAAATACAGTTCTTATCAGATAACAACAAACTATTAAAATTAACTCAAATAAACTATCACCTGATTAAGAGACTTAGTCCCCAGTCCCCTCACTTATAAACCCTAATGCCCTCCAAGGCATCCATCTATTGTATATAAAAATTAACTTCTCTCCTATGCATCTAGAATAGTACTAACTAGTTACTACCATCCATAGAGAACTAAGTCAATTAAATGATTTTGTGTTCTTACGGTTCAGATGAGAAACCTGATCGAGAAAGACCATCTCATAGGATGGTTTTGAGGATTAAAATGAGTTAAACTAAACCATGTAAACATTTAGATTTCTAAAAGCAATTTAGCAGCAAAGGAAGAACAGCATATGGTGTGTATTAAGACAGACAAGGCAAGGGGAAGAAAGGTAGGTTCACTGAGGGTCTGCTTCAGACAGAAAGCCCATCAAATGTTGGAGTTTATCTTGCAGGGCAGAAGAAACCCAAGGCCATTTTTTTAAAAAGTAAACCATAAATAGAATAAATTAGCAAATACTGAAAATGAAACTACAAAATCATCAATTAAGGAACTTGCATTCTTTTACAGTTCAGGGCACCTGGCTCACCTTGTTAAAATCATGAACAATGTTGGCAGGATCACTGTCTGCAAACTCTGGGATAGGCACGCTGATGAATTCAACCTCATCTTCCTCAAAGATCTTAATATTTTCCTCAATGGTCTGGTAGCGAGCAGCTGGGGCATCTGCAGAAGGCTCATTTAAGATGACATCATCTTTGATGTACTTTATTCCACAGTAGTAGACGTCATCTGGCTACAGAGAGTTTAAACACTATTTCAGCAATTCAGTGGAAGACAGGTTTTTAAATGTAAGTATTACTTAAGCTGCCACCTTTACCTACATAGCATTTTGCTTGCAAACTCTTACTTTTAGATGACAAGTCAGACAGTTTAATTACAGCGTTAACACATTCTTTAAGATCAGGTTTTAAAGTACTGTAAAAAACCGGTTTCAGAAGGAGAAAAGCAGCTGATTTCTCCTTTACTTTTTGTGTTCGACAAAAACAGAATATAAAAGCAATTATCCATCTGGTGACAAGTAAATCTGAAGAAACACACAGGCCTATTTCTACCTGTAAGCCTTATTTTTATAAAAGAATATATTCAGAAACCAGTAATGTTTTTCTGAAAGAACATACTTCTAAAACTTTTTGATGTGATTCACTGATTACATGATTTTTCTCTCATTAGCCAAAAGGGATAGTTTTTCTGAAATTTCCACAGGCATACAAGTAGTTCTGATTTTGCCTTAAAATATATCACAATTAAGTGGAAAATATCAGATTATAGTAAATCATTATAAAGATTTTTTTTTAAAGTATGCATATACAATAAAGATTAGGAGCATGTAACAAAATGTTAGGTCAACAAATATCTCTGGACAGTGGAATCGCAAATGATTTCTTTTATATAAAAATACATTTCTTGTAAAAAACTGCATTAGAAAGATGACTAGTATTTCACTAATATCTATCAACATGCCATTATTCAAAAAATATAGAAAATGAGCACAAAATTTACACATCCTATGTAGAATATTTCACTTTCTAAATAAAATCTATTTGTCAACAGTTTCTCCAAACTCTGGTATGTTAAAAGAAGTACACATACTGAATTACTGTCTGAGAAATATATCACAAAACAGAGATCATAAATCATAATCATTGTAATCAGAAGAAAACAATGTCTTAATCCACTGGGATTACTATTCTGTAATAAATTATAAACAACTTTTATCCTAAATTACTTCATCATTATTGCTGAAATCACATTCTTAAGAGAAACCAATGACTGGGGAAGAGGCAGAGAGAAGTGGAACCACTATACTCTGGGCCCAGGAGCAAAAGGCTATTGTGGGGAAGCCCAAAATGTCTATCAAATTATAGTTTATCAATATGACATTTGAGGCTGGTGTATCTATTCAACTGCCAATTGAAAATACTATAACTTAGCTATTAATTATGGTAGGAAAATTGAGGGTTAGTCAATTTTTAAAAATCATCCAGCAATCTATACCCTTTAGTCAGCAAAACAATGTTATTCTGCTTTTAGTGACTGTCTAATAGGTTCAGCAAACTTATGCTCAGATTTTTTAACATAACTGTAGAATAGGACCACCACTCTGACTAAAGGCCACAGACAAAAAAGCACAGGCTTAGAACAGGTTTGGGTCAATTTTCTAATACACGTGAAGGAAAGGCAAAAATGTCCCTAGCATTTTCCCACTTACTTGAAGTGCAAAGTATTTGTACAGGTATGCTCCTCCTAGAATGACACCTGCAAGCATAAATGCTAGTCCAAAGCACATGCACCAACACCAGGCTCTTCTTTGGCCAACTGGTACCACTTCATCTGGGTCCTAAAATATGAAAAAGACTGATGATCAATATCTTATCTGCAGTCAGAATCACAGAAATGTCAAGCTTGAAAGAAACCTTAATAATTATCATTTTATAAACAAAGATATAAAGACCAAAGGAGTCAGGTCTCTAATCAAAATCTACCCAGGAATGATTAAGTGGTGGTACCAGGACCCAGCCTAATGCCTCCTGAGCTGAGACACCAGTCTTTTGGGAGAGTGAGTTCTTCTAACTTTCAATACCCCACCTGCCACCCATATCTCTAGAGCAATAAATTACATACTCCACAATTTCTATTTTCTGTGCCTAACTTTTAGTGATTAAAATATCTTCTAATATTTAAAAATTCAGAAGAGGCTACAATACAACTTTGTCGTGCAAAATTCTGGTGCTGAGTCTTGTGTATTACAATGTCAGGGTATATGAGATTATTTATAAATTATGTGTTAACCTGCTGCAGGTAATTAGTATTTCATACTAGGTACAAAGCCATTCCTAACCAAACATAATAAAAATTTACACGAAAACTGGGGACAGACCAAATAATATTAAACAGATTCTTTAAACAATCAGAATCTCAAAAAAGTAGGACAAATGTATTTAAAATAATCCTGTAATTCCACTGCTCTACCCTAAAGAATCCCAGTTTAACAAAGTTCAATTTTTTTTTTTTGGTAGTACACGGGCCTCTCACTGTTGTGGCCTCTCCCGTTGCAGAGCACAGGCTCCGGACGCGCAGGCTCAGCGGCCATGGCTCACGGGCCCAGCCGCTCCGCGGCATGTGGGATCTTCCCGGACCGGGGCACGAACCCATGTCCCCTGCATCGGCAGGCGGACTCTCAACCACTGCGCCACCAGGGAAGCCCAAAGTTCTTCATTTTTAAGATATCAGTAGAAAACTGAGGAAAGATTTAGTAAGAAAATCTTATTAAGTCAAGAGACAATACAACTAGCACACAATTTTAGACTTCTGATTTTGACCCCCCTCAAGGAAATAATTTAGCACTGGAACATCATCTAGGGTCAGGATATTCAGTCAGATACACTCCTTGCCCTTCTAACTCAGGCCCTCTACTGTCGCTTCAGAGTTATAGTTAATTTCTTATTTGTGCCCATGTTCATGTGCAAAGAGCTGACAAACAAATGAGATTAGCTGCTGGTATTATATAACCAGTGGCTCGAGAAATAGTACAGGCAGCAAAAGCAAGGCTCCAGTTGACTTGAAACCAACATAATAAAAGATGATCTAGTAAGTAGTATGTGTGTACAGCCCTTCAAGTATATCACTCTATCCTTTGCTTGGAAAACTCAATATGGGATGGATTAAGGGAGAAAGTAGATTTGACCTACACCTCCATAGATAAATAGGATATAACTTAAAAGTTAGGAAGAAAACCTGTAAGAACAATGCTGGATACGGTTGAAGCAAGAATTCAGTGAGGAAAGAATGAAAGCTAAGGTTATGTCTTCAATTCTAAGATAAGGAATTTTAACTTGATACTACAGGGGTAAAGCCCAAGCCCAGATGTCTCAGCCAACCAAAAACAATTTAAGGCGCTTGGGTTAGTTGACGTTTAAACACAGAATTTAACACTGTAGAAAAAATGCCATTCAATCTAAGGATTGGCTCAAACACTGTGAGAGCATCACACTTTGCTAGGCATACCTGTCAGTGTATGGTATGTATACTCAAGACAACAAGTACAGCAAGGAAGTAGTGTGTACTGAGAATAAACCTAGAGGAATTTATCAAGCCATACAAGATACCCATCTGTGAACAGAAAGTTACAAGAATTCCACAGGAGTCATAAGGTATTATGAAACCTGAATGATAAAGTACATGTAGTGTTTTGCTTGAGCCCTTGTCTGAGATGAGAAACAGTTCCTAGCGTAATTAATTTTAGGGTGGAGGCAGGGTGGGGAGACGAGAATGACAAATGGAAATAGTCATTTCTAAACATTTGGTATCAGCTGCTGAGACAGTCAAATGTGTGCACAACACGCCCCTGTTTGGCAGGCTCTCTTCACGAGCCGCACTTAAAGGGATAGCCAAAGAGCATATGGGCAGACACTTGTGAAAGAATATGCAGCCCCGAAGGTTAAACTGATAACAGTGTCCAGGCCTTTTGCTCTACCATTTTTAGCAGGTCAACAAACAATATTTTCAAGAATAAATTATAAACGTCTACTATGTGCCAAGAGCTGTGCTAGGACTGGGCATGTAGCCTCTGCCAAGAAAGAGATCGCTCAGATCAGCCTGGAAAACAAATATACAAAAAACATGAATATGCCATAGGCTCTAACAGGAGAATGTAGACAGCACAGAAGAAGGGCTGATTGGGAGAAGACTTCCCAGGGGAGAAAATACTGGAGAAGAACGAAGGACGAATACTTATTACCCATGCAGAAGACAGAGTGAAAGGGCATTATGTGTAGGGCGAAGAATGAATAAAATCATGGGGCCAGAATGTATGACATTCCACGGGTCACACGTGGTACGGCTGGAGTGCCCAGTATGGTGGTGAAGGGTACAGGGGCGAGAATGGAGAGGTTACTGGGGCAGGTCACAGAGGGACTTTGTGTAACAGGCTATGGAGTCTGAATTCTCATGTTCATTCAAAAATCACATCTCAGGACTATGACAATAAAACAAAAATTTTTAATTTCTCAAGAGAATCTAACTTATAAAATACCTCATGTACTCACAGGTCATTTGTTCAGCACCTCAACCACGTGAACCATGGCTTAAGAATCAGGAAATAAGAGTCTGAATCTCCAAATTACAGACCCAAAGTCCATGCACCACAGTCATCTATTTCATAAAAGAGGTAACAGGTCTTCAAAGTCTGTCTAATCTCTTTTTTTCTCTAAATTTCTATAAGGTTAGTATGGTAGCACCAAGCCAACCGTGGCACTTAGCTGGCACTCAACTAATATTTGATGAGGGAGTAGAATGTAGAAAAAGTTTTTAAAAGCTTGGTTATTTATTTTTTTAATGACCCCAAAGTTACACATCAGCAGCCAGCGTGACAATGAAAGGTGGGGGCAACATAAGAATTTATGACGCACAGGAGACTGTGGCTTTTTAGCAAAGAAGAGTAGCCCTAAGCACGCAGCCCAGTTCAACATTAAGGGCCTGTTATTTGCAATGTACTGTGCTAGATCCTGTGGGAAATTCAAATGTGACTAAGACATGGTTGAAATCTTAAGCAATTTACAGTCAAAATTAATAGTATGCATGACAAATAAATGACGTTCCTTGTTACAGTCTGAGTCACAGAGAAGGGATTAAAGTATATTCAAGATAGAAATGTTGTTAACCTAAGTGATTTAAAAATGCATTTTAAATGATTAAATTTTAAAACTTGAAAGAGTATACTTAGAGAAAAAAGCCACATGTTAAGATTTAAGAAAAACCCCACATGACCATCTCAAAATATGTAGAAAATGCATCTGATAAATTGTAACTCCCATTCATAATAAAATCTCTTTGCAAACCAGAAGAGGTGAAATTCTTTAACATGAAAAAGGCTAATAATCAAAAATCTACAGCAAACCTCATATTTAATGGTGAAACTTCAGAATTAAACCATACCCTTTCAAGTCAGGAATGAGAATGCCCACTAAAACTGATTCTTTGTTTTCATTCAACATTGTACTAGAGATCCTAGGTAGTACACAAATGATAGAATATGAACTGATTAAAAGATTAGAAAAAAGAATACAAAGCTGTGATTATGTCAAATGATATAACTGTCTATGTAGAAAATCTGAGTAAGTCACATTATTCAAACTAATTAAGAGTTCAGCAAAATTGCTGAAGATCAGTAATTAAAAATCAACTCAGTCAAAGATTTACACATAAATAGTCCTAGCATCATTATTCATAATAGCCCCAAACCAGAAACAACACAACTATCCACTAACTGATGAATGGATAAAGTGTGGTATATTCATACTGAATCTCAGAAACACTATAGTGAAAAAAAAAAACTCCAACGCAGAAGACTACCTACGAAAAGGAAAAACTATAATGACAAAAAACAGCTTAGTGGCTGTCACGGTGAAAGGAAGATGGAAGAAGTATGAGGAAATATTTCAGGGTGGCGGAAATGTTCCATATCTTGATTATGGTGGTGGATACATGACTTTATACAATGACCATAAATTCAATCAAACTGTACACATAAAATAGGTGCATTTTACTGCATGTAAATTTTATTTTAATATGGGGAATGAGAGAAAAAAATACCAACTGAGTTCCTATATACCAGGCAATAAAAGAAAGTCTAACAACACCAAGTGCTGGAGAAAGTGTGGAACAATGGGAATTGAGGACTTTTGCACAGTAGACAGGAGCTGGTACAAATGTTTTGAATAACAATTTGGCAGTACCTAATACAATTAAAGATACATATATCTTATGACCCAGTAATTCCATTCCTAATAACATAACCCTAGATAAACACTTTTGTACACAAAAAGAGGCTCAATAATGATTACTGCAGAATGGTCATTAAGGAAAAAAATTGGAAATAACCTAATGTCCACAAGTAAAGAATAAAGTATTATGGGTTCATATAATTAAAGTCTAAATGAAACCAACTAGCACTATTGATTTTGAGATTAATCTCAGAAACATAATGCTAATGCAAAAAAATTTTTAAAAAAACACCATATATTGAAGACTTAAAAAACATATAAATGGTACTATAAATTCTTTGTTTTTATATGCTTGGATTATTTCATAATTAACAACAAAAATCATAAAAATCATAAGAAAAAGGAAAACCACTCCTGAACAAGAGCAACTTCACTGGGACATAAAACTTTACTTGGCCTAATTTAAAACAAGTCATAGACATTTCCTCCCCTTGTACTGCAATAAAACTGGTGCACCTTAAATGATGCTGATAAGGTAAAAGAACTCCCACAGGTGCTGTACAATTATCACCTCATTAATCTTCCTAAAACCTCAAGTTTTTACCCCAGTTTATAAATGAACACGCTGAAGCACACACTGGCCTATAATCACCCCTCAACAGTAGGGACAGAAAGAAGCGGCTTCAAAAGCATTCTCACTCTTGCACTGTACTAATTTCTGGTTCGAATAAATCTTACCATATGATAATAAAATTACTTAACCAATTATATCTTAAGCAAAATGAAGAGTAAATTCTGTTCTGGTACTTCAATTAGTTAAGAATTAGGTCACCTCAATCAGTTCCCTAAGAGGCTTCAGTAAATGTGCTTCAATTATAAACTTAACTCAGACAAAATGCAAGGGTTTTCATATAATTTTTATTCTGTGCCCATACTAACAACTCACACTTCACGTCCTCTGGCATCTCTATGTAAGCCTTCTTTGTAGAATGAATGAAGAGACACTTTTTCAGAGCTCCCAGACATACTATTTTGCATTATTAGAGCAAATGCAACAACACCACTTTAGGAACCAGAATACTAAAGAGGAAAGTATCTCTTAGGGTTAAAAATCGTATTACAAAAAAGAAAAAAAGAGATGGCATAAAACACTTTATATTTAAAAACAGAAATCCAGAAAAGAACCAATACAATTTATTCAACTCAGAGTAGCATAAGCTACTGAACCTTCAGAAATATATTTATTTAGAAATATGTACTTTTAAAAACACATTCAGTAATATCAATAAATAGGGGTTGCACAGGCCAGCTGCCCATGGATGTGTTGTTTGGCCTGTACACTGTTTTACAAAATACAGAATTAGCTGCCAACGTTAAATATATATATAATAATTCAAATTTTCACAGATTTCTCATCAATGTTCTAGTTTTCTCAACTCCTCCCCCATCATTTTTCTTCCTAGTGAAGACCAAACATACCAAGTACTTTTCTACAGTGTTGCTTGGTTTTGAACCTTGATTTTCATTTCCAGCTATGACTGGGTATGCTTCCTTCTGAGAACCTAATTTTAAACTACTTCTCCATATAAAAGGGTTTTGAGTTCTGGGTTCTAGAAACTGGATTAATATGGTGAATAAAGCAGCTGAATCCTTTAAGTGACAGAACAGGTATTCTTTTGCAAAGAACAAATCCAAGCATGAATGGCATAAGCAAACCAAAAATGGTGACAGAGAGAAGCTGGGATTGGACAAGCTCAGAAAAACCACAGTCCAAGAGCTACGGGAATAAAAGATGGTCCAGACAACACCCAGTTCTCGGACAGACAGAAACAATGAGAATGACAGAAACTACTCATGGTATAATACCATCTGTATGAGGTTCTGGCTAAAGGTTAAACTACAGGAACAGAAAACTGGGACAGGTGTGACACTCAGGATTGACTACCAAGTGATATTAAAGAACATTTTGGGGTGAGGAAAATATTCTGCATCTTGACTACAGTGATTACACAAGTGCACGTATTTGTCAAAATTAACAGAACAGTATAAAGCTAGAAAGGCTGAGAATTTCAGTATGTAACTAATACTCCAGTATATTCGAATTCCTCTCCTTTCCCAACTTATGAGGAGCAAGGAGAGTGTTTTTTCCTAAAAGCCCATTAAATGATACTGAAGATGAAAAAGATATAAACTTTTAAGAAAGATAAGGATGAAAAGATTGATAGCAGACAAGAAATCTCAAAATTTTGGAGGATGGGAAACAGACAGACAAGTGGTATTTTAACTTCTCTGTCTCAATCACCTCATCATTAATGGATTAATAATAGCACTAATCTCATAGGGTTAGTGTGGGGACTAAATGAGGAAATACAACTGAAGTATATAGATCACTGCTTGGCACAGAGTAAATAGTAAGTGCTAAGTGATAGCTATTAGTATTATCCCCACCACCATCTGACTTAGCTGGGAAAGGTAAGCTGAAACAGGTATCTTCTTGGAGTAAAGCCAATAAAAAGTAATCTACACCTTTCATTTTTTAATATTCCTTCTTTTTTCCTTTCATAATACTTTATTGATGCACAGAAATAAATTTAACTTGTTTTGTTAAAATATACTCATGATTAAAAATATATATATACTCATTAAATTAAATTAATTAAAATTGCTTACAAATAAACTCTTAAAATATGTTCACCCTTTAAAAAACAAACAAACAAAAAAGCAATCTACAGCAAAATACTGAAAAGGCCAATTAAAAAAGGCATTACTGGAGAGGAAAAGAAAATGACTTCCTATTCCAATGAGAATTCAAAAATAAAAACCTTGGTCATCATTTAAGATCTACTTAAAAAAATTTCCAAAATGTTTTCCTAACTATACTCTTTGAACCACAGAACTTACACAGGCAATCGTTCCAACTGATTACCATCATGTAGGATACCAGTGCCATCCATTTGCCACTGGTACATGTTCTATTCAGCTGGCTTCTACATTAGTTTTCTTTTCCCAGCATGGAAAAAAGCAACAAAAAGACATGATCCAGCAACCTGTTCACCATTAATAGCAGTAATTCATTACCAAATATATTCTGCTATATGTAAAACACAAAAATCTATGGCTAAGAAGCTAAAAATCTATAAAGACACCAAACATTTGTTTGCATTTTCTCTTGCTCATTTAAATCAGTAATCTGAATTTTATTTTCTCATTTGACTTTTCAGGTAAGATTGATACTATCTCAACTAGGGTGAGAAAGTTCACATGAGAAATCTTATGTCTGAAATGCAAAAAGGGAGCAGCTTTCCAAGTGATTGGCATTATATGGATATTAATGTTACTGCATTATTTTACACTTGGAATAGGGAGAGATTTTTTAAAAGAGAAACTAATCTAAAATTACAATGTCAGGACTTCCCTGGTGGTCTAATGGTTAAGAATCTGTTTTGCAATGCAGGGGACGCCAGTCGACGATCCCTGGTCAGGGAACCAAGATCCCACATGCCAGGGGGCAACTAAGCCCACGCCACAACTAT